TTTTAGTAGAGACGGGGTTTCACCATGTTGACCAGGATGGTCTCGATCTCTTGACCTCGTGATCCACCCGCCTCGGCCTCCCAAAGTGCTGGGATTACAGGCGTGAGCCACCGCGCCCGGCCTGGTTGCTCATTTTTATGGTTACTTTAATTTTCTGCTAAACAAGAGGTGGATTATTTGTGTTTCCCCTCTTTAGACCACATAGGGTAACTTCCTGATGTTGCCATGGCATTTGTAAACTGTCATGGTGCTGGTGAGAGTGTAGCAGTGAGGACAACCAGAGGTCACTCTCGTTGCCATCTTGGTTTTGGTGGGTTTTAGCTGGCTTCTTTACTGAAACCTGTTTTATCAGCAAGGTCTTTATGACCTGTATCTTGTGCTGACCTCCTATCTCATCCTGTGACTTAGAATGCCTTAACTATCTGGAAATGCAGCCTAGTAGGTCTCAGCCTTATTTTACCCAGCCCCTATTCAAGATGGAGTCACTCTGGTTCAAATGCCTCTGACATTAGAGCAGTTATCTCACTGTCACTGTGCAGCCTCAACAACATAGTAACTTCCAGGGATTTTTTTCAGACTTCTGATCATAGCCGACAGTGAGCAATTCATTTGACATCATGGCCTAGTACATGTCTGAGTATATATTAGGGTATATGTAACTGAAAAAATTTCACAAAACAATTTTCACCTTGATTATATGTGTGTTATATAATATTGTATATATTATATTTCTATTCTTCTGCATTAAAAATCCATTGAACTGATTTTATAACCCATTAGAGGGTTACCTCCTACAGTTTGAAAAGCACAGTTCTATGCATGGCAGAAGAGATTGTTAGAGTAGATGAAAAGAAAAAGCATTTTGGTTGATTAGATCAAATTTACCTTCCTGATTGTGCAGGAGGGTAGGAATTACGGTCCTGTTTAGAAGGAATTTCCAGCTTTTCTGCACTGGATTCCATTCCTCAGTATGGTATATATTTGTGGTCTGCCAAGTCTTGGGGAGCAGTCGTTTTTGTTCAAATACAATATCATCAAAAATGAATGGGAATTGCTCAAAAAGTCTTTGACAGCTGAAACAGTGAATAAATCAACAGGATGATGAAAGCTTGAAAACACATAATACCTATAATAATCAGTAGAACCATAGCAGAAATGAGAAAAAAAGAAACTTTGTTCAATTACACAGTAAGGTTACTTACTTCAAAGTCAGTAGAGTGCTGTAAGGTTATACGTATTAAGGTTAATTGCATCTATTCAGAATGTATTTGAATCTGAAACAAAAGCTTTAGAGAAAAGGAAATAATCAAAGGGAGAAGACTGCATTTGAAGGGTGTGTTCTGTCAGAGAATCGGCTGATGATATTTCCTCTGTTCTGTAATGTTTGTAATTTCTTGTCTCCCACCCCTGCAAATATGAAGACTTAAAAGGCAATCCATTAAAGTCCTGTAGAAAAACTGAAGGCATTTACCATCATTAAAACTCAAGGGCTAGTATTGCCCAGTGTTTTATTATGTACTAGTGAAAGCAGAAACCTATGCTACCTAATCTTGTAAGAAAAGCTGAGACCCTGCTTTAAGAAATCTTTATATTAAATATTTCTCTATTAAAAATCTTCGGAATATGTTTCTCTGATTATAAAAGCAAAGTTGTATCTGCTTGTTATAAAAACTCAAACATTACAAAAATAATACAGAATGTGAAAGTCCCTGCAATTCTGACACTTAGAAATAAACACTGCAGAGAGTTTAGTGTAAAGAAACCTTTAAAGTATAGGTTGTACTTTTTGACTCTTGATGCCAAGTGGAAAACCTTAGTGCCATGATGCCTGATATGGTTTGGCTGTGTTCCCACCAATGTCTCATCTTGAATTGTAGCTCCCATAATCTCCATGTATCGTAGGAGGGACCCATCGGAGGTAATTGAATTATGGGGATGGTGCTGTTTTCCTGTGCTGTTCTTGTCATAGCGAATAAGTTTCAAGAGACCTGATGGTTTATAAAGCGCAGTTCCTGTGCACATGCTCTCTTGCCTGCTGCCATGTATGACATGCTTTTTCTCCTCCTTCGCCTTCTGCCATGATTATGAGGCCTCCCCAGCCATATGGAACTGTGAGTCCATGAAACCTCATTTTCTTTATAAATCACCCAGTCTCAGGTATGTCTTTATCAGCAGCATGAGAATGGACTAGTACAGTGCCCTTTGATTTCTATTGCCAGTAGAAGGTGACAGATATTCTTTTTCTAATCTTTATTTTAAGCTGTGATTGCACCCCATCATACAGACAATGTTTTTTACATTGGCTTATTATTTAGTTGTACAAGGAAACAGCCTTTGTTCTCACAGTGGCATGTTGGACGACCTCTCCTATATAGTACTCTTTCTAAAAATGTTTAACCTGGTCTAATTGTGAGGAAATAATCATTTCCTTATATCCAGATTGTGAAGCATTCTATAAGAAAAGCTACCTGAACTCTTCAAATATGTCAGCCATGATAGAAAGAAAAAAAAGTCAAGGAAATTGTCTGAGGTTATAGGAGTCTACAGACACGTCAAACCACAGAAATGTGTAATCCATAATTGGATCTAGGGTGAGGTAGAGGTAGGGAAGAATATTAAAATGGAAACAAGTTGGAAATTTGAATATAGACTTTTAGGCAATATTAATGTTAAATTTATTGGTTGTGATAATGTTATTATGTTTAAGTATGAGACTTCTTTTTTTAGGAGATACATACTAAGATATTTAGGGATGATGTGTTATGACCCTGCAGCTTATTTGCATATGGTAAAAAAGAGAAAAAGCAAATGTGGGAAAACATTAGCAACTGGTAAATATAAATAAATAGTATATGGGTATTTATTTGTACTAATATTTAACTTTGCTTGTTAGGCTTAAAATTTCTTAAAACGTTGGGGGAAATGTAATTTTAGGTGATACTCTAAAACTTACTGTGCCTCTTCTTATTTTTTTCCTTTTCTCTTTTGGAACCTGGAGAATGTAAAAGAACTTTTGTTATGAAGTTGTATACCAGCTTTGTGCAGTGGCAGTATTGTAGCCAATGAGGTTTATTCGAGGCGTGATTATTGCTAATTGAAAACTTTTCCCAATACCCCGCCATGACGACTTGCAATATAGTTGGCCCCGGCAATTTTTGACAGTCTGTACGGAGACTGAATACAAATAAGAAAAGAAATAAGCTGTATGCTTAAAATTTGTGTTGTTTTCTGTAGGTACATTATACTTTAATAAATAATTTAATGAAAAAAGCCTGGGCTCAGAATCATACTACCATTTACAGGGGAAAAATATGTACTAATCTTTAAGATGTATTATTTATAAATACTACTTTGTTTCATGCAGTGGTCCTTATTATTCAAAGGAAAGAATCAGGAACCAGGATATAGATGTTAAAAGGAAGAGCCAGAAACAGGGATATAAAGAAATAATTAGAAAAAACTTGATGTATATTTATGAAAGAAGCTGCAGCAAAGGGAATCAGTCACAGCATGAATAAAGGAGATGTACTAGTGATTCAGGGCTAGGTTCTATTACACATAAAATAGGTGTCTTATACGTTATATATAGTTATTATAATTACATACAATAAAATAGATGTCCCCCTAGGTATCTTAAGCAAGTATCTATGGCTTTGTTTATTGCTTTCCCATAAAATAAGTCTGAAGGTAGGTAGTCTAGGGCTGATCTAGTACAAATAATGGGAAACTATGATGGAATATTTTCTGACATTGTTCTAAGCACTGTGAAATGAAAAAGAAATCTTGGGGTCTCCAAATCATTAAGCTGAAGGGAAAAGTCAAGCTGGGAACGGCTCAGGGCAAACTTGCCTTCCATTCTATTCAAAGTCACGCCTCTGCTCACTGAGATAAATGTATATCTGATTGTCTCCTTTGGAGAGGCTAATCAGAAACTCAAGGAATGCAACCATTTATCTCTTATCTACTTATGACCTGGAAGCCTCTCACCTTTGCTTCCAGTAGTCCTGCCTTTCTGGACCAAACCAATGCTCATCTTACATATGTTGTTTGATGTCTCGTGTCTCCCTAAAATGTATAAAACCAAACTGTACTCTGACCACCTTGGCACATGTTATCAGAACCTCCTGAAGCTGTTTCATTGGCGCATCCTCAACCTTGGCAAAATAAACTTTCTAAATTAACTGAGACCTGTTTCAGCTATTCGGGGTTCACAGCACTTTATGAAGTGGATAGTTATCCGTATTTTACAGGTGGAAAAATCAAAAAAACTAAATAATTTGCTCAAAGTTGTACAGTTAGGAAATAACAGAATTGGGGTTTGAAGTCGGGCAGTACAGCAATAGATTACCACTAATGTGCTGGTTTCATGGTCACAGAGCACCAGACTGCTTCTGTCTTTCTGCTCTGCTATTCCTGATCATGTCTTCCATATTCAGGGTGCCTCACTGATTAAGATGGCTGCTTGAGTCCCAGCTACCATTTCAATCTTCCAGGAAGAAGGAAAATAACAAAACAGCTTTTTCTATTTGTTTGTCACCATTTAAAGGAGACTTCTAGAAATCCCTCTCAATGACTTCCACTTATATCTCAATTTCTCAAACAATCACATAATTATACCGACCTATACAGAAGGTTGGTGGCTGTAGTCTTTTCGCTGGGCACATTGTCTGTCTGAATGATATAGAAGTGCTATCAATAAGGCAGAAGTGAGAGTGAATGTTGGGTAGGGCCTACTACATCTCTTCTAGTTTAAGAATAAAGGGAGTCGGCCGGGCGCGGTGGCGCACACCTGTAATCCCAGCACTTTGGGCCGCCAAGGTGGGTGGATCACGAGGTCAGGAGTTCAAGACCAGCCTAGCCAAGGTGGTGAAACCCCGTCTCTATTAAAAAAGTACAAAAATTAGCTGGGTGCAGTGGCATGCACTTGTAATCCCAGCTATGCAGGCAGCTGAGGCAGGATAATTGCTTGAACCTGGGAGGCGGAGGATGCAGTGAGCTGAGGTCGCGCCATTGCACTCCAGCCTGGGCGACAGTGAGACTCCATCTCAAAAAAAAAAAAAAAATTGAAAAAATTGAAAAAATAGGGAGTCAGGCATAAGAGTGGAAATTAATCACGTGATTATGTTGTCTCTGAGATTTTTGAAATATAAGTAGGCTATCTAAGGAAGAAAAATATAAATGTAGTCCACATTCCTGTTCAGAGTATTGATTTCAGAGGACTACTCGCATTTTCTTCTGGATAATGTTCTGTTGAAAGCGATATGCTTTGTACATCCTGCAGGATTATTTATAATAGTGAATAATTAAAATAGTTGAGTGGTTGTATGATGCACCAGTGTCATGAAATACTATGCAGCCATTGAGCATTAAGCATGTTACATATGTAATCAAATTAGGAAAACCACTTGTAAATGAAAGCAGAATATACAACTGTACTTAAAATATGATTGCAACTGTGTAATATGTATAGAACATAGATGAAAAGTAAATTCATCCAAATAAAATTGTAATTGTGATCTTTGAGGGGTGGGATTGTGTGTGACTTCTACATGTTTTAAAAATCGTTTTCTGAATTTTCTTTTACAAGTGTGTTTCTTTCAAAATCAGAAAGAAACAACATATTTCATTTCTAAATGTTCCATTCACAGATTTTGGAGTACATCATTATGTCTTGGATTGCTGGGTTTTCCCTTTAGGTTATAGATAATCTTGAGGAGTAATGCTTGAGATGTGGACATAATCAGCTCTAAGTCTACTAGTAATAATAATATGAAGAGAAAATATATAGTGCATTTCATAAGTAGGTGGTTTTATGCAAATATCAATTTCTTTATTAAGTCATTCTTAATAGGAATATTAATACTAAATATTCTCTTGCTGGAAAAGAGAGTGTCTCCCTAGGGCCTCTTGTACTCATGTTTTGTTGGATGTGCCAAGACTACTCTTTAACCTATTTCTTAGAGTTGTTTATTTAGCTGGGAACCTTGAGAGATGAGGTTTGTTCTCCCCAGGGCAAAGACTGGTCTCACTAAGTATCTACTGTAAAAATGGTGTATTCCCCAAGCATTTTCTCAGCTGCAATGCAAACACACCATGTGTGCAGCATCTATCCTGTTGCCCCCATAAGACTTGAGGCCAGAGAGAATAGATGTAAATAAACTGATGCTCATGCTGCCTACGGTGCCATGAGTCATAAAGTCCTTTGTCTCTGATCCAGGAATTTTATGTCTTCTTCCAGTGTCCATGAAACAGTGACAGGCTAACTTATTAGCTTGTAAGTGGAATCCAATCAAATCCCAGACCTGACATCTCTATGTTCTGAAAATATGAATTTCTTCTAGTTACTTTTACTGAGGAAGTAGTTACAAGACATTTTGTAAGTGTACTACCAACTGGTCTCCATTTCAATGATGGTCCTATCGTTGGTTTTTGAACTCTTAAAGATGTTGAGTCTCTACAGTATTGTACTTCAGATACATTCTTTGTATTGTTAGTGTGACTCCTTCTTGTTAACTTTTTTTGTGTGCTTTTATTTATGTGTATGTGTTTAAGTGAAGAAATACATCATCTCAGGTCCATTCTATATGATTGTGCAGATTGGTGACTGCACACACTTGCCCAGCTAAGGTGTAATCTGTGGCAGAGATACATACCAAACCATGTGCCTTAGTGTGGGATTACCTCCACCTGAAAGAAGCAGCCCTTTTTTTTTCTAATTTGCATGAATTTACAATGTCTCACTAAGCCATGGGGATCCTGGGTGTGTATGTGTGCCTCTAGTTTCCGTAAAGGCATCCTATAAACAAAGTCCCTGATGATTCCCTGCTTATTTATCTGTCTTTACTCCCTGTGTGTTTATTCAGCCCTCTAACAGAAGCTATGAGTTATATTGATAAAAGAACTAATCAATTACACATCAGCTTCTTGGGTGTGCAGATATAGTGTCTTAAGCTTTGCAGTTTCTGAGGCCAAGATAATTCATAAACATTTCCATACTGGAGAAGTGGAACACTTGATCAGGGTGATATGATATAGGCTTAAGGGTCAAGGGCAATTCACTCGGCCTGATCTTGTCATTTTTTTCTTGGGAATTTGATCTATTTATGACAAAGCTTTTGGAAACTTAAATGCCTCAGAAGATTTGACTCAGTGTTGACTGAAAACAGTCAGTTTCAGATTCCTACATTGAAGGTCGTGTAACAAAAAACAATATGGAATGTCATATCTAGAAAAATAAGTATCCAAATGCCTTTGATTATCCCCAGATCTTTTTTTCAATTTATATATACCCAAGGATAAGATTTACTTGAACCATGAAAACTTCAAACCAATTTTTTTGCAGGACTGGTGACTTTACATGTCTACTATTCTGTTTGAAATTATGTTTTTCACTTAATCTTCTCTTTCCGAATTTTTGCTCTTGACTACATTTCTTTTTCGGTCAAACCAGTGTTGTTTCTAATTAGAAATTTAAATTACATCTGGTGCAGTTTGTACACACCAGGGGATATATTTATGTAATACTTTTAGCCAGCCAAGATATTTTTGATAACTTCAACATAGCATTTTTTCAGAGTGCTTATTGAGAAAAAGTTATACAAATTGTACAAGAATGTACACACAAGATGCAGTTGTATAACTCGAGAGACCGCACAAGGAAAACATTTTATTTTATTTTATTTTTGAGATGGAGTTTTGCTATTACTGGCTAGGCTGGACTGCAGTGGTACGATCTCGGCTCACTGCAACCTCTGCCCCCTGGGTTCAAGCAGTTCTCCTGCCTCAGCCTCCCAAGAACCTGGGATTACAGGTGTGCACCATCACACCCAGCTAATTTTTGTATTTTTAGTAGAGACAGGGTTTCGCCATGTTGGCCGTGCTGGTCTTGAACTCCTGACCTCAAGTGATCCACATGCCTTGGCCTCCCAAAGTGCTGAGATTACAGGTGTGAGCCACGGTGCCCAGCCAAACATTTCTTGAATATCTTTTTATTTTATGTTTCTATGGTGCAGAAAAACATTATATCTTATCTATTTTTTTGTATATTCGCCCTTAGTGTATCTCATGGATGTGTGCTGTTGAGAAAGTGAAAACAATCTTACAAATTGAGATATTTTATTAAATTTCAATGAAGTAATTAAGGACACTCATTTCCAAATATATACATTTATTTC